ATTTTTGGCTTCTGAATAGGTAAAGCTCGTGACCCATAATGCACACGCCCCAGACATCGCACCACGCGATTTCTTTATTTTCCCAAAAATTCAAGATTTGATAAGAGGTTTGATATTTACATAGCCAGAATCACTTTCAACTAGCACGTGAAAAACACGCCCCCAGACCAGATCCTTATGTCCATATAATAGTGTCTATAATGTGCTGGAGAATACATTGAAAAACAATGATTTAATTAGTTTACATATAATTTTTTTTATTTATGAGTTACGCAAAACAATCTGCTTACCCCACGTATTAAATGCGTACACTTGTCATGATCATGTATTGTTACAATGTAAGTATTATATTAGCGAACAATTACAATTTATTCGTAATTCATTTAGTTCTCTAGTCACTTTGTGATTAAACTATTTATCTAGTCCAGAAATTTATATTGTATAATACTATTTTCATAACTATTCCTATATATACTTGGTAAGCTGTAGCTTTATTATGGTTCGAGCAGCTGAATGCTGCTATGTTTCTTATGGTGAGTGTACAGAACCAGTTATATTATGACTGGATACGAGGCATTCTATCTGCATAAAGTGTGAAAACGCATCTGCATATTGTTTCTTAACTGAGGATAGATTAAGTTGTCTTTGGGCCACAGTATCCTCTTACGATTAGGTGGCTTGTGGGCTCGTTTAAAAAAATATTTTATAGGTTTCAAAATATTTTATTTTATTATTTTTTTCGTCATTATTGATTTTCATTTTATTCCATAGCATTTTGCTGTTCATTTAATTAATCCGCCATTTATTTAACGTTCACGGTTCGCTTACATGCATGAAAAAGAAAATAACCAATGTCGTTTCATTTTACTTATTACTTCATATTATTTTTATATAATTGTATTTCTTTCACGTACACGGCTTGCGTACATACATGACCAAGGTACATACCAAGGTATATGACCATGTATAAAACTCTTTAGTAAATCATTTTGATTTCACTCAGTAACAATACTTAAGAACTCATTCGGCGTTTTATCGCAATTGAACAACCTTAAAAAATGGGTTATTAGGTTTTCTAAACTGTAAGTAGGTAAGGTAAGGCAAGTTCATGCTGTAGCATATAGATATATACATCTATCCTCGATTAACAATGAAAATGCAGATGCGTTGTCAACTCTGAAGACTAGGATGGAAAGTGTCGTTGCCAGAGTCACCGTACAAACACAGCAGGATTAAGCCACTATTCTATTCTGGTACTTTTTGGGAGCCTGCTCCTTCCCTAGTCAAACCGAACCATTTGTGCTACAACCATAATAATATAAAGCTGCATTCTATTAACAAAAGCTCAAGGTAACAATTAGAACTTAGTCTATACAGGTACATGAAAACATTTAAACGGGGCCAACCTGGATGTAGAGTCTATTCAATGAAAATAAAGTAATTAAAACTGGTGTACAATCGGCGAAGTTATCGCTCAACACATATACAAAGAAATACAATCGAATTCAGAACCTCCTTGATAAAAAACAAGCATTATTTGAAATAAAGGTAAGTAAATACATACACATTTTATATCTTAAAAGTTTTTTTTTACCATGTAGTGGCGGAGTAAGAGAATCCGCTACTTTATAATATCCCGAGTGTTGAAAAAGGTGACAGAAGAAACTGAAACATAAACTGTATAGCAACTCCTTTTTGATAACAACTGAAAATAATAAAAAAGTCGATTGCTAGCCGTTAATCCAAGTGTGCCAACTATAGCAAAATTAGTAATTGGATGAATGAATTACTTTTACAGCACTCACGAAATTAGTAATGTATACCGTTACGCGGATTAATCACAACAAAATTTAAAAACATTTCGACTAAATTGACACAATTCCCAAGTTATATTACGAATTTAGCAAGCACCCAGCAGCGGTGACACAGTCCTTATCATTAACCAATATATCACAATGGGCCTGAGCGCTTAGCAAATGCAAATAGTCATGATAGCCGACGCTTTGGGCTTCATATATATAAACTGTGTCTCCATTTTGTAAAATCGTATTATGTTAATTTTATTACGTGTCAGAGCCACGTTGCAGATATTATGGTTGTGGCTCGAATGGGTTCGCTCAACAGGGGTAGGACCTCGCTTGCACAGGATACCAACGTTAAATAACAGCTTATTGCTTCTGTGTTTCGTATAGTGAGAGTGAAGATCTGGAAGCATTTTTTTTTGAAAGAAGGCATTCCTTAGTTCTCGGGGATAACAACCTATATGCATTTTAATTCTTAATTGAGGATAGATGTAGGATTTCTATAGATCACGGCAACTTACCTTTAGGTGGACTGTGCGCTCTTTTGTCATCATTATTCTAAAAAATCTCTTAATATACAAAATTACATTTCCTATCGCCTGAAGGTGATGTGAGAGAATACAGTGCCCCATTTCGTCACGTATGTGTCGTAGCAGACGAAAAATCTTATCGCATCCAATAGACGGCGTTATAACCAACTCGTTTGTTAAAATACGCAAACCGGACAAGAGTAAATGCTGCAGCATTGAATGTGCGAGACGTCTGGTACTGTGATTGTCAATCTACCCACCAAGCGTTAAGGTTAATCCTGTGTATAGCTGGTTGCGAAGGAGAAGAAGAGTTTTTTTGTATAGGAGAGGGGGCAAACGAGCATGCGGCTCATCTGATGGTAAGTGACTACCGCCGCCCATGAACAACTGAAACACCAGTGGAATAGCAACAGACAGACAGTCAATTGGAAGGACCCATCTATCTTCCCGATTGAAATCCTGATTGTGAATGTGGTCTTTTTTGAATAGGGAAAATAACGAGATCGATTACATCACAAATAACTGACATGAAACGGAGAATCCGAGCCTTCAGTCTGAAAACGTGCTCAGGATCACCTCCGAAATTACGTCACACTTGATAGACCACTACTTGCAAAAGAACACCGCTTTCGTAACAAAAATTATTCCTGAGGCATTGATGCTCTGCTACCTCTATTACCCATCTTCCTAGATGAGGATAAACATTGTTGTTTATGATAATTATGAGTTCGCCGATTAATGGCGTCGACTTCACCTATTTTTTAATAAAATTTAATAAGTAGTTAGGCGAAAAAAGGTAAAAGGAGGCCTACAACCTTTTCTACCTAGAAATCAGCCTGGGTAGGGACCCCACAATCTTACCTATTTCTGTCGCCAAATAAGACTGCTTGCATTGCTCTATTCCGGTCTGAAGGATATAGAGAGGAAGTACAATCACAGGCCTAGAAGCAATCTACTTCACGGGTGACATTGCGTATGTATCTTTCTTTGTAGGAGTTGGTTTCGGTTGTCTATGCGCTTCAGTAGCCACTTAAGATCAGGTGGACTCTAAGTTCGCTTGTCATTTTAATTTTATAATAATTCACTCGAATATTTATTACATTTTTACGTGGTAGAGACATGCTGCGGAAGTATTACTGGTATAGTTATAGCATGAATCGATCGGCTCAACCAGGGAAGGACTAATATTCTCTTACAGAATACTAACATGACATAGCAGCTTAAGCTGAGTCAAAAATCAGTTATCCGGTTTTTCTGTTGAGAAACTCTCAGTAGCAGCCAAAATTAAGGAAGTTGGCGGTATTTCGTCCCGTGCTTCGGAAAGCACGATAAGCCGTTGGTCTTGCGACTGATCTAAATAGAGTATTTGCGCACACACTCTTGCACCATTTTCTGGCCTACGCAGATGTCGATTTGTATCTGACTGTGACCGTGACTGGGGTTCGGTCTGGTAACTCAAAAACCTACTCTCCTCGCCAAGCTATAAGTTGTTATTTTTATAAATTAAGAGTGACAAAAAGCTTGACAATGTGGAAAAAATATACAATATTTACCAAAGGCTTCGTTCTGAAAATTAGTTTAGAACAACACTTTAAGGAAAATTTCAACATTGTGCTAAAATTTCTTCTATTCTATTCTTATTTTTTAAAAGGTTCCATAATAGACTCTTTAAGCACTGTAATATCCCGAAATACAAGGTTATTAATAATTCGATTTCTATATAACATTTTGAAGAAAAACCGGGTGTGAGGAGAGCGATACAAAGCTATCATATAGTTTTCAACCCTCAGTTGACAAGGGTCAGATAATTAATTAAAGTAACGTAATGAGAGCAAAAATACGATAAACTACTACCAAATTTGTAATTATTAGTAACTGTAATATAATATTAAAATATCGGGAGTGTCCAATAATCTAAACTGATGTAAATTTAGTTTGTAAGAAATTTACATTTTTGTTGATAGATGGCGCTAAAAGAGAATTACCACGCAGAATGGTTCTGTTAGTTAAGGTATTATAAGTCACTTTTATTTATACGTAATAAATAACTATCCGTTCTTGGAATCTGAATTAATATCATTTTCCCAGACTTTTTGAACAGATTTCGTTAAACATAAAGTTCCTTCGAGTCGGAGCGGTTTTTGATTGGAATTCAAGCGACATAGAGTAGAATTAGTTCAATTTAAAATTATTATTACTGTGTAATCTGTGCTACTTACCGGCAAGTGAGAAAAAGTTGTGGCTTTTTATTGAAGATAGAAGACTAGTTCGGGTGCTAAACATTGGTCGGCAATTTATTGAAGAGGAGCAAATCAAATCTACAGATACTGGATTGGCGCAGTTCGAAAAATAAATGCAGCTAAGTGTAAAGTGCAAACAAACTGTGAGTGCAATTGATCTTTAATAAGTGTCCGAGAACTTTTAAATTTTTCAATTCGTTAAATAATTCAATTCGTGCATTAACTTGTAATAAATTCTAAAGTAGTTTGGGACTTAGAATAATTCACCAAAAAGTGAAGGCACGGGGAACCTACGCCCGTTTTCACCCAGAGGATTTATTTAAAAATACTTAGAAGTTTTTGCAAATTTTATCTTAGGACTTCTTTCTGGAACTTAGTACATTAGTAACAAATTGAATAGCAAAACAGAAATTATAAATTAAAAAAAAATGGAAGCCGATTTAAGGATTTTAATGGACTTAAAAAGTCAAATAGAAAGAAGTCGAGTTAATTTTAAAAAGTCACCAAAAGAGCGAATTACGCCTATTTTTATTTAAATTAGACTGGAGGCTTTGGAAAAACAATTTGGTGAATTTTCTGAAAAACATACGGGATTAATCAGCAAATATGAGCCCAACGATTTGAATAAAACTACGTATATTAAGGAAGATTTGTTTCAAGCACTTTATGATACTTATTTAGATTACAAGGTTGAATTAAAAAGTACATTGTCCAAGTTTAAAAATGATATTGTGTCACCTAGTTGTAGTGAAACATCATCTAAGCAATCTATGAAATCGTCATGTGTCAAGTTACCAAAAATATCTATTCCGAAATTCAGTGGCAAGTATACGGAGTGGTTTACATTTCGCGATTTATTTATTTCTCTTATTCAAAATAACGAAACACTTGACGACGTTCAAAGACTGCATTATTTAAAAACACAATTAACTGGTGAAGCTGAACAATTGATTCGTCACATTCCTATTACGCAATCTAATTATAAAAAATGTTGGCAATTGTTAACTGATAGGTATAATAACAAAAATATTATGTCAAATTGTATATTAAAGCGCCTATTTAGTCAGCGTAACATAACTTGTGAATCTTCCAATTCTCTTAAGGAATTATTAGACACTACCACAGATTGTTTGCATGAATTGTCAAATCTAGGAATTGATATAAAGTCATGGGATGCTATCATCATATACATAATTAGTTTGAAGTTGGATGTGGAAACTCGTAAACAATGGGAATTGTATGTTAGCCAGTTACCTGATGAACTATCGACGTTTAAGCAACTAAAAGAATACTTGGAAACAAGATTTCGAGCTTTAGAATTTGTGGAACCTAGTAAAAGTAAAACTCGCGCCAGTTATGCCAATGTAAACAATACTCCTAAAGCATTACATGTTACTTCCAATTTTACATGCCCCCATTGTTCCGAAGGCCACCGACTGTATAATTGCAAACAATTTGCTAAAGAAGATGTTGATAAGCGAAAAAATATTGTTCAATCACTTGGCCTTTGTTTTAATTGTCTTGGTTATAATCACAGTAATAAAATATGTCGCGTAACAATCAAATGCCGAATTTGTAAGCAAAAGCATCACACTTTATTGCATCCAAAAAGTCAAGTTGATTCAGCGACATGCGGTGTCGCAATGGAATCGACATGTAATAGCAATGATACAATTTTAGATTCCCCTAAAGACAATACAATAACAAACATTGCAACCCATTTTTTGAAGGATAAAGTTTAAACACAAATTTTATTAGCAAGAGTCTTAATTAAGGCTGAATCAAAAAATGAGCAAACTCAGATTTTAAGGGCTTTGCTAGACCAAGGGTCACAAGCTACTTTTATATCTGAATCCACGGTACAATTATTGCGTTTGGCTAAAATTCCTACTAGAAGTTCAATTTCTGGTGTCGGGAGTAGTCAAAGTAAAACAGTCTCCAAGCATGTTTTTTTTTTATTAATATTCAGTCTCTCCATGACTCCGATTTTAAAATTCAAGTAAAAGCGCATGTACTAAGCACTGTTACCACAGTGTTACCTGAAAGGAAGTTTACTATTGAAGATTGGCCAGAACTTCACTGCATTGCTTTGGCTGATCCTCATTATAATAACCCCAATAAAATAGATATTTTACTGGGAGCTGACGTTTATTGTCATATTCTGAAAGAAGGCTTAATTAGAAGTCCTGAGGGCTTAACTATAGCACAAAATACATACCTGGGGTGGATATTATCGGGTCCCGTTGATAATCAAAGCGACCCTGAAAATTGTCACAATTTAATTTTAAGCATTCATGCTCATCTGGAAGATAGTGAGTTATTAAAAAGGTTTTGGGAGCTCGAGTCTGAACCTTCTCTTATTGAAAAAAGTATATTAACTCCTGAAGAGCAATCTTGTGAACACAATTTTGAAGAAACTACACGCAGAGACGAAAAAGGTCGCTACATAGTTAAGCTTCCTTTTCGATCTTCAGATCCATCCTGTAAATATGGCCATTCAAGAAGTATCGCCGTCAAAAGATTATTAAATCTTAAGCGCAAACTAAAAAGAGATGATGAACAAAAACAAAAATATTCTGAAGTAATAAATGAATATATATTACTAGAGCATATGAAAAAAATATCAAAAGAAGCTAAATACGAATACGATAAAGTATGGTTACCTCATTCAGCAGTGATAAGAGAAGAAAGAACAACGACCAAAGTTAGAATTGTATTTGATGCATCTGCTAAAGGCACTACTGGAGTTTCGCTGAATGATACTTTGATGGTAGGTCCAAAATTACAACCTGATTTACGTCATATCGTTATGCGATTTCGACAACATCCTATATGCTTAACAGCAGATATAATAAAAATGTATAGACAAATTAAAGTATCAGATGAGGATGTTGATTTTCAGCGCATAGTTTGGAAAGAAAATATAGAGTCTGACATTCAGGATTTCCGATTGTTAAGATTAACATTTGAAACTTCTTGTGCTCCTTACCTTGCAGTAAAGGTCCTACAGCAAACTGCTATTGCTGAAGGCCATATGTTTCCATGGGCAGCACCTAGAGTGATGACAGGTTTTTATATGGACGATTTAATGACTGGCTGTCAATCTGAATCAGAAGCTATAAAGATCTACGAAGAAATGAATGAACTACTAGGCAAGGGATGTTTTAAATTGCAGAAATGGTCAAGTAATAATGTAAAATTGTTAGAGAAACTAGAAAAGTATGGCGGGACAAATTTAGAAATAAAGACTGATGAAATTTCAAAAATATTAGGACTTACCTGGAATAGAAAATCTGATGAGTTCGATTACAGTGTAAATATTGCTTCAACGTCGTCCTCTGCACCTGAAACAAAAAGAAAAGTTATTTCTGAAATATCTCGCCTGTATGATCCACTTGGTTGGATAGCTCCTTGTATAATTACATCTAAAGTATTTATTCAAAAAATATGGATAGCTGGGATTGACTGGGATGAGGAATTGCCAATTAATCTTCAAACTGAATGGAGGCATTATCGAAATGAACTAACAAAATTAGTTGACTTTCACTTACCACGGTGGTTTCACAGAATTACTGATGATATAACTGTCGAACTACATGGCTTTAGTGATGCATCTAACATTGCTTACGCTGCTGTTGTGTATATAAGAATAGTTGATGCGAAAGGCAAAGTTTATTCAAGTCTTGTAACAACTAAGACAAAAGTAGCACCAATAAAATAAATTTCTATTCCACGCTTGGAACTATGTGGAGCAGTTTTAGTTACTAAATTACTAATAGAAGTAGCAAAAACATTAAATATTGCACAATTAAACTTACATGCTTGGACTGATTCCACTGTTGTTTTGGCTTAGTTAAGTGATCATCCCAGTCGTTGGAAAACATTTGTGGCCAATAGGACATCTGAAATTCTTAATTTGCTTGAGTCAAATCAGTTTTCGCATGTAAAATCTGAAGATAATCCAGCCGATTGCGCATCTCGCGGTATATCACCTGCAGTTCTTTTAGAAAGCAAACTCTGGAAAGAAGGCCCCAGTTGGTTACGTGATAGATATATTCAATACTCACGTCCAAAGAGTATACTTACCTGTTTAGAGAAAAAGACTGTCAAATCATACGTAGTAACTGAACATGATCCTGAATTTTTTGAAAATCTATGCTTGAAATTTTCATCCAAGAAAAAGCTGATCAGAGTAGTGGCATTTTGTAGACGGTTTTTAAGATTTATAAAACCCAATGAACAAATGATAACTCGACCTTCTTTCTTAACAGCATCGGAAATCAGTGAATCTTTTAATTATTTACTGCGCCTATCTCAACAGGAGGCCTTTGGAAAAGAAATTCAGAGCCTTAAAAAAGATGGGTGTATAAGTAAAAAGAGTGTTTTAATAACTTTGAACCCATTCATAGATAATATAGGGTTGCTGCGAGTAGGAGGAAGGATTCATCATACTAAACTTTCCGATGACAGCAAACATCCAATTACCATTTCTTATGATTCTCAGTTAGCTAAACTTATAGTAAAAAATGCACATGAGAGTACATTACACGGAGGTCAGCAATTAACAATAAATTTTATTCGAAGTAAGTTTTGGATCCTTAGAGTAAAAAATTTGGTAAGATCGCACATTCACAACTGTATAACTTGTATCCGTTATTCTACCACGACCCAAAATCAGTTAATGGGACAGTTACCTTCAAGTCGAGTGACACCATGTAAACCTTTCCTCCGTACAGGTGTAGATTATGCAGGTCCTATTGACTTGAGAATGTCTAAAGGCCGAGGTAACAAGTGTTATAAAGGATACATTTGTCTATTTATATGTATGGTGACACGAGCAGTGCATATCGAGGCTATTTCTGACTTTACTACTCAAGGATTTCTCGCCGCCTTTAAGCGATTTGTTGCTCGCCGTGGCCACTGTAGTGATATTTATAGCGATAATGGGACAAACTTTATTGGAGCATCAAAGGAATTAAAGCAATTATTTTCTAGAGAGAAACATTCGATGCTTAATGAGATTGCTTCTGTATTAGCAAATAATAGTACAACTTGGCATTTCATTCCTCCCCGAGCCCCTAATTTTGGCGGATTATGGGAAGCTGCGATCAAAAGTGCAAAACATCACTTACGTCGTATTATAAATAATTCAACCCTCACATTTGAAGAGATGTCAACTGTACTCTCACAAATCGAAGCTTGTTTAAACTCAAGACCTCTTTCTCAAGCTAGTGGCGATCCCGATGATCCAGCACCATTAACTCCCGGCCATTTTTTAATAGGACAATCGCTTGTTGTTGCCCCCAATAGCAATTACGAAATTCAAAAAATGAGTAAGCTTACAAGCTAAGATGGCAGTTAACTCAAAGAATGATACAGAATTTTTGGCGTCGGTGGTCTAAGGAATATTTGGTTAATTTTTTTCAACGAAATAAATGGAATTCGCAAATATCTGAGCCAAAAGTAGACGATATTGTTTTGGTAAAAGAAGATAATTTACCGCCCGCTAAATGGCTCTATGGTAGGGTTATAGAAATTCATCCAGGCAAAGATAATATAACACGTGTCGTAACTTTGCGTTGTAAAAACTCATTGCTGAAACGTCCAGCTTCAAAACTATGTATTTTAAATGTTAAGGACTAAAATTGTATTTTATAGTCTTATTAATTGTATAGGGTATTTATTACATTGCAAATTTACCTAACAAATGAAATTTGTAAAATTTCACTTCGAATTTTATATTACAGTCCACACTTTTATTTTAAGGAATTTATTTGTTAATTTTATTGTTGTATTTCGGATTATTTAGTTGTTGTACTTTAAGGACAAAGTATCCTTCGTGGGCGGAATGTCCAATAATCTAAACTGATGTAAATTTAGTTTGTAAGAAGTTTACATTTTTTGTTAATAGATGGCGCCAAAAGCGAATTATCACGCAGAATGGTTCTGTTAGTTAAGATAACATAAGTCACTTTTATTTATACGTAATAAATAACTATCCGCTCTTGGAATCTGAATTAATATCATTTTCCCAGACTTTTGGAACAGATTTCGTCAAACAGTGAGGGAATATATTTTTGTTCATGGATACATAAATTTGGATAAAAAAAATTTAAGAAGTATTTCACACAAGCATAAAGCAAAAAGATGGATCCAGATGAGTCAGGACTTTTAAAGGGCTATAATGATGATGATGGTGATGATGGATATAATGAAAAAAAGGAAGAGACTTAATGGTACTGCTAACGCCAATTTGCCTTACAGAATGGAATGGAATTAGTTTATGGATGAATTTCATATATTCTCGACTTATACCATAATATAGCTATTCAATTCGCTAACAGTCCCCCAGAAACGCAAAAAAAATTATAGTTAGGTTTCAGCTTAAAAGACACAATCAAATATGTCACAAGCAAAAACACAAATTAGCATTAGTTTTGCACAAAGGTTGACAACAGCCTGTTTTAATTTTAGGCCTGTAAAGCTTTGGATATCAATGTTTCGATTTGCACACGCTGTTTCGCAGCTCGAATTATCAAACTAAAATACAATCAAGATTTCATCTAACTAACTTAAGTATAAAATAGTTTAATTTTCAATGAGGAGGGCCTTGGTGGTGGAATGCTGCTGAAACGCCGCAGGGGGAGGATGTATTAGTAAAATTCCTCAGGCAGGGACGGGGCATCCACTTTTCGAAGCTTTAATGAGCTAAATATCTTGAGCCGGGATAATTTGCAGAGGTAGGGTTTGCAAAACAATTAACTTTTTTTTTTATAGAAGAGGGGGCAAACGAGCATGCGGCTCACCTGATGGTAAGTGACTACCGCCGCCCATGAACAACCACAACACCAGGGGAATTGCAGATGCGTTGCCGGCCTTTTAGCTCTTTAGCCTTTTAGGTGTAAGCTCTTTTCTTGAAGGTTCCTAAGTCGTATCCGTCCGGAAAATTCACTGGTGGTAATTGATTCCACAAGGAAGTTGTGCGAGGAAGAAAAGTTCTTCTAAATCGCACTGTGGTGGACCGCCAATCATCCAGATGGTATGGATGGTAACGCGAGTTTTGTCGCGATGTGCGATGGTGAAATTGAATGGCTGGAATTAGTCCGAACAATTCCTCAGAGCACTCCCCGTGATAGATGCGGTAAAATACGCAGAGAGATGCAACATCTCAACGCAGTGCCAGTGTATCGAGCCGATCAGTAAGAACTCGGTTCATCGACGATTCGAACCGCTCTGCCCTGGATGCGGTCAAGTGGAAGGAGCTGGCACTGGGGTACCCCGGCCCAGAGATGAGAACAGTATTCCATGTGGGGCCGAACTTGCGCTTTGTAAAGTTGCAAGCGATGTACCGGTATGAAATACTGTCCCACTCTGCTGAGCACGCCAAGCTTTTAAGAGGCCAATTTGGCCTTCCCTTCCAAGTGACTACGAAACTGCACACTATTCGATATGTCGACGCCAAGGATTCCGATACTAGCTGAGGCAGCAAGGGGAGTGCCTTGTAACTGAGGAGATACGACAAAGGGGTTCTTTTTAGCGGTAAACGCGCAAACTTGTGTCTTCTGGGGATCGAACTGGACTAGATTTAGTCGGCCCCAATCTGAGACTTTGTTAAGCAAAGACTCGACTTCAGACACAAGTTTGTTCCGGTACACAGCGACGTTTTCCCGAGAAATAATATGTTAGTAACTCTACAAAAAATAAAATGTAAGTATCTGTCTGTAATATTGAACTGGCCCCTATTAAGCTCAGTGAGTTATTTAAATGCTATTAAGATAAACAACCATTTATTTTAATTTTTGTCTGTTTGCCTATCCGGGCTAATCTTCACAATGGCTGTACTGATTGTGATGAGACTTATCGAACAGATAGAGAGGAATGAGGGTTACATTCAATTAATACAACGAAGTGTTGTATAAAGGTCAACACTTGTTTTTTCGGATCAGACGAACCACTAAAAATCAGTAATTTAATTTTTCTGTCAATAAATTTTCAGCAGCAGCCCGGAATCAGGAAGTTTCATTCAAGAGTTTCATCCACGTACCAAAACACGTATTGCCATTGCTCCTGCGCCTGGTCTTTCCTCGGTCATGTTGGTTTCCATCCCATCGGATAGAGAATGCATCTGTGCTTGCGCAAACACTCGTGCTCTATAATCCTGTCCTGCGCAGATGACAAGTCCATTGATACTTGCCGCCGAGACAAAAATTCGATCTGGGGATAATATTATAGAGGTCAACGATAACAATTAAATAAATATTACGTATAGCAAAATATGAAAAGGAGGTAAATTATTGAAATTTTTTATTTGCTATCGATACATTTACTCCGCTGAAGTATTAATAAAGAAGATTGGCCTTAAGTCGCGCCATTTTCCGACGATTCACGGAACAACCGATGCGATACGCTTATTCATTTGCCGACGCGGACCTGCTTTGTAAATCAACTTTTTATATTAAATATGATTAACAAAGTTAATTAAACATAATATTTCAAGTATTTATCAATATTAAACCTCATTGCAAATACTCTACTAAGCAAAGGCCTTGTTCTATTACTTCTAGAAAAAAAAAGTCGTATGACAGCACGTTCGAAGTAAAAACTTCATAGCTTCACAAATATAGTAGGTACCGAATCGCAGGCGCTCAACAATCTGCTCTAGCAGATTCTGTTATAAATTATAGACTTAGCAGTTATGGAAGAACTTATGTAACGTACATACATGAAATTTACACACTACAACGCAAAATGCTTAGATTGATAGTACAAAAATACACACACATTAAAAATAAGTATAAAGATAATGACCGGGGTCTTTTTAATTATTGCAAAGTCATAAATGTTTTCGATAAAGTTAAATTTAATATACTGACTGAAGTAAATAATTCAGAATACCTAGTTCTTAGAAAACGACCTGTAAATCTACGAAATATAGCTTATAAATCCAACATTTATGTACTTCCGAAAACTAAAAATTTCTATGGAGCTAGAAAGTTGGCCCATCTTGTACCTACTTTTATTAATACCTTGCCACTAGAATTACATACGGTAAATCAAAACTGTTTAAAAGTAAACTTAAATCATATTTGATAAATCAACCATAATTATTGTAGTAAGTACTTCATACTGGATTATTGTGATTTAATATTAATACATCTTTGTTCTTATAAGACGACTCTCTAGTGTAGATAAACCCCTAGAGGTTTATATGCTAGTATTGTACTGGATAATGTAACATAATTATGCATAATAAATTAAAAAAAAAGTTGGTAGGATCGTGGTTCAGCACCTAAACTATGCCTTAAACGAGCCTAGCGCCGGTGTTATTCGTCACAGCTTTTTACCAAATGGAATGAGCATTACTGCAGATGTGTTCTTTGAAGAACTGACCACAATGATGGAGAAGCTAACAAGTCTTCAACCAGCTTTGGTCAATCGCTAGTTCCCGCTGTTCCTGCACGATAACTCACGACCTCATACTGCACAACAGACAGTCTCCAAGTTACAAGAGCTGGGGTTGGAAGCACCGCACTCACCAGACCTAGAACCTACAGACTTTCACTTTTTCCATAATTTTGATAACTTTTTGGCGGGAAATCAATTCAATACCCGGGAGGCAGTACAAAATGGCTTTGAAGAATTTGTTGCCTCGCGTCCAGCTGATATCTTCAAGAACTATACAACCGACTTGCTTGTAGCAAGGGCATCAACAAACTGCCACTGCGTTATTAAAGATGCATCGATAGCATGGGTGATTACTTTGATTAATAGAAATAAAAATATATAAAAAAAATATGTTAACTCATTTCATTAAAAAAGTCAATTTCATAGGTAAAGACCAAATATATAATACACATATATATGTATCTGAACATGACAGTCACGCAAATTCAGGGTCTTTTTCCCATACCAGACGTTTTCACTTCATAATACTCCTTCATCCTCCATCATCCTTTGTTTACTCATGAATGAAATAATAATAATATCCTAAATACCGAATTTCGGTCACGCATGCCGGCCTCAAAGGAGGCTAACTATCGGCGTAGAACAGGATCATAGTGCCCAAGGGAATGTGAAAGCACAGGTGCAGTCTCGTTACCCTCACTCTCATAGTCCGATAGGACGGTAAACATTACCGGAGAAAGATCAGGCGCAAGATCAATGGCTTTACGTACTTTTCAAGGCACACGGGGGTGAGACACCGCCAGCATCTGACTCCGGGTAGCTACAGAGAATTTCTTGATGGAAAGCTCAATAACCGATATTTTAGCCCGACCCAAGATTCGAACCCGGGACCTCATGATCAGCAGTCGCTCTACTACAACCACTAGACTAACGCGGCGGTCATTTGTGATGATACAATAATGATGACTTGACCTTACGTACCTGCATCCATAGACACCCTTACCATAATGTCACTGACTATATATATTCATATTTTGTTATCTATACTAAGTTGTGAGACTCCTATTATGCCTAGGATTCCGTCTAGGTAGGTACCATCCTTTAACTTATTTCTGCACTCAGACCGGAATATTCCTGTGTTCCGGTCTGTATGGTAGAGCCAGTTTATTAGTGAAGAAGCATTCTATTTCCCTTGCAGTGGCGATGTAAGAATATGCTTTATCTATTTCCCGTGGGTG